GGAGCAGAGGCAGCGCCCGCCCGCCCGCCCGCCCGCCTGCCGCAGCCCCGACCACCCGGCGGCGCTCTGCACGCGCTCAGGAGCCGCCTTTACCATCTTGACGATGCCGCGCTGGAGGACCGGCGCCTGGGCGGAGCCGGCTGCCGAGGAAGCGGCGGCGGGTCCGGCGGAGGAAGCCATGGCGCCGGGGGTCGCGCTGGAGGTCTCCGCGGGAGGAAGCCGAGGCAGCGGCGGCGGCGGCGGCGTCCGAGGAGCGGAGGAGGAAGGGGGCGGAGCGGCGCCTGGGTATTTAGCCGGGCCCGCCCCCCGGCGCACGCGCAGCACGCCCAGCGGGCTCGCCCCCTCTCGCGGGACAGCCAATCGGCCGGCGGGGCCCGGCGCCCCGCCCCACGGGCGTCCGGCCAACCAATCGGCACGCCGGGAGGCGCCCAGCGAGGGAACGGAGCGTGTTCAAACCAAAGCGTCGGTGCGGAGGAGGCAGGACTTCCGGGTCACCCCGCCAGAAGGACACGTAGGCAGAGAGCAGCACGCGCGGCGGGCCACGCGGAAGTCGCGCGTGCGCCAAAGCCGGCCCGAGGGAGGGAGGGAGGGAGGGAGGGGGGGAAGTCCTGGCGGTGCACGTGGCCGGGGTGGGGGGGGGGGAGGCTGTTCCTTCGGGCGGAAGAGCGGCTGGTTCGCTCGCTTCCCCTTCGCCCGCCGCGGCGGAGGCTCCCCAGCTGACCCCAGGCAGCCCCCCCATCCCGGGCCCCGGGGGCAGCTCTGCCGGGGGGGCAAAAGGGCGCCCCCTCGAGTAAGTGGGGAGCGCTGAGCGACCCTCTCCGGGAGGAGCCGCGGCCGCCTGAACGGCCCCCCACCCATCCGGATGCCCCCCCCGCTTCCCGCAGGGCCCCTCCCGGGGGGGGCTCCGCGGTGGGGGGGGGCTGGCAGTATCCCCCGAAGCCCCCCTTGTTGTCAGCCCTGTAGAGAAGCCCCGCCGCGAGACGGGCCCGAATAAATGAACCTCTCGGCTGAAGAGGCTTTCCCTTGAACGGAGACGCTCTGGGCTCAAAGGCTTTTGACCGGTTCTTGCGCCAATGGAAACCGGCACCGGCACCGCTTACGTGGCTCCAACAGGCAGTCCCGCCCCCCCCCCCCCCCCCCCCCCCCCCCCCCCCCCCCCCCCCCCCCCCCCCCCCCCCCCCCCCCCCCCCCCCCCCCCCCCCCACCCCCCCCCCCCCCCCCCCCCCCCCCGCATACACACACACACACACACAGAGGCAGTCTAGGGCCGCCCGATGGCCTCCTTCCCAACAACAAATCTCTCCAGCCCAGGTCGACCTGTGGAGTCCTGGATGCTCCCTGAGCCCAAAGCCACTTCGTTGCCCGGCGAGGTAACATCGCCAGTGCCCTGCAAGCCGCCAACGGCATCCAGGGCGCCACGGGATCCCTGCCCCTCCTTTCCCAATGCCCCCAGCCTGCAGAAACCTCTTCAAGGGGGGGGAGGGAGTGGGGCATGATGTGGGTTTAGCTCGGGCTCTCCACTGAAGCCTGATAGCGGCGACCTGGCTCCGTTTTGGAACAAGGCTGGCACCATTTGCTCAGCTGGGGATCGTCTCGGGAAGAGAGCTGCCTTTCCCATTCCGGGCACGAGAGCGGAGGGTCTGTGCCGTGCTGGCCTCGGGGGGGGGGGGGAACAGAGAACTCAGCCCTTGCGCTCACTGACTGGGCAACATGGGCATC